ATTTGTATATCACTGCTCCCTCTATATCGCACATGCTCAGATATTATATGCAGTGTATAGTGGCGTGCAAGGGAGATGGCAATCGCTGTACCCAGCGACTGACCGAATATAACACGGCTGTCAGGTTGAATTCCAGCAAATTTGGGTCGCCCACTTGGTCATCGCTGTGGCATCAAGAAGAAGGCCCTCTCCTGATGGAACACCATTGCTCAGTATATGGCAATCGAAAGTGGCAATGTGGGTTTTGTTCTGCTGGGGTTCCCAGAGTAAAGAGCACGATAGCTGTCCGGTCGCTAGCCGGCGCCTAATCTCCCGGCTGTTCCCGCGCATGTAGAGAATAACTCTCGCATCTGGGCCATCTCTCAAAGAGCCTGAATGATAACCTGTGATGCTGCATCTTCGGCTACTTCCGATGGCTCCGCCCAATGGATCTTCAAGATGCCTTTTTGTAACCACCCAGCAGCAAATTACGCCAAGCACGAAGGTGTTCTCTGTCTTCAAATTTGATGTATAAATGGAATAACTTGGTTTTGCAGAAATCCAAACTCTTCTGGCACATTGAGCTCACGAAATCAGGTCAGAATGATGCCATGGAGATAATTGGCATGCATCTGTAGTGTGTAGTTTGGGAATAATGAATATCAAGCCTAGAAGACTAAGCAGCAAACGATTGGAATCCTCACAATAGGAATTGTAGCTTGAAAAAGGGCCGCAAGGCAGTTACTCTCCGTGATGAATAGGAGGACACTTGAGATTGAAAGCGTGAGTAGGAGTAGTCCTTGACGGGTAAGAACCTTGTTTCATTCGTTCAATTAGGAGCATTAAGGAATATCGACCGGCCAAGAATCATGAAGGGCACAAGCCACCAACAGACGACGAAGATGAGCCGAAGCATAAATAGAAAGGATCTTACAACAGGAAAGGAACGTGGGAACGCATAGAAATAGAAGTTCAACGAAAAGAATACATTGATATGGAAAAATGGACAACAAAAGAATTCTGTAGCCTTTTATACTATTTAGAGC